CATTATGAGCATTTATTATTTACTATGAGCATTTTTGCCACGGTATGGAATCGATGGTCGGTTTTGCAGGCCATTCAATCACTAAATATTGGTAACAAATGCTGTATCAGCGTTAATGTTGTCAAGTCGAGACCTTTCAACGCTGGCGCAGACGTACCTAGAGCGACGAGTGTATCGGTTTTAGGAATGTAAATTAGAAAAATTTGCTGATTGCAGACTGCCTTACTTTTCTGACCTACTCTGAAAGTGATATCCTGCGTTCTCTGGGAAAACCCGCAGCTGAGTGTGAATGTATCTAAACAGAAAAACTTAGTGTTTTCACGCTCTCCTGCGCGCTGTGATCTGCAGCTAAATGAAAAAAACTGTGGAACAATTGAAAAAATTTACGTTTGGTGAAAAATGGGAGAGAGAATTCGATTGGCGAGATGGAATGACCAGCGTCGTTGTGAGTTAGCTGGCCCGAATCGTTGGGACTGAAGCGAAGGTGAAACTAAAGACTAAGCCACCTGTCAGTCTTTATGCCGATGCTTTTCTACTATCATGATTCGTGGACTCTGACTCAAAAACTTCAATGCCGAATAAAAGCGGCTGAAATAGGCATTCTAAGGCGACTACTGGCCTTACCTATCTCGACATATAGGAAGTACGCAAATCTGAGTGAGCTTCGGTGCGCAGCCGCTGTTCCTGCAAATTAAGAAACCAGTTTCTGCGAATGTTTAGCACCGTTATGCAAATGTTTCCAGAAAGGAGGGAAGAACTGCTACAACGTGATTAATCGACCCGGATGAAGGCCCGGGATTGGTATCAATCATTGCCCAGGCAAGTCTTGTAAAATTGTGCTGCAGGCTACGTTTTCTTCCGCCGAAGTTCAAACGCTAGCACAAGATCGGGAAATTTAAAGACACTGAGACACTGTTGCCTGCGCGACCCGAAAAAATAAATAGTAATCGAAAATGATTCACTGTCCATCTTTGCCTTAGGTATGTCTTAATTTTCTTTGCAAAGATTCACATTATTACTTGCAAATGCAATGCATAATACTGTAAGTTCAGAATTCGGCGCTTTCATTTCGCTGTAAACCATTGGCTCTTTCAGACGGCTGGATTTACCGTTGTATGAAGAATGCCATACCCGTTCTGTGTAACATGGATTTGTTTTCAAGAGTAAAAGAAATCTCTGTTCTAAGATTAAATCAGTTAATTTGTTTGGCAATTTTAGCAGGGAGGTAAATGTTAATTGGCATTCCTCATGGTTATTCACAACGTTGATTTCAGTTGCACCAAAGTGACACTATTTCAGATGATCCACTTGTGACCTGCGTTAACATCTCATCTGTTTAGCTTGTATACTTTGTTACACTGTTTAGCCTGTTGAAAACTAATGTTGGTCAGTCGAAGTATTATCGTTTAATTGTTACTAAGGTTAAGCTAGTTAACCTCTTAAACAGCCATGGAAAGCCTCATTTCTCCGGTTGTTTTAGATTTAGACTTTAAGACACATTTCTCCGGTAATATAGTTTTAGATTTTAAGATTTTTGGCTTTTTAGGGTACCATTTTAATTTATGTGTGTGTTTCGAACTTCGATGAAATCTAATATTTGGCATTTTCTCGACAGTTTCAGCGTCAGTGTCAGGCTGTAGCAGCAGCAGTACTCATTTCATTGTCTTTCATCGTTTGCCATCGTCTTATCAAGTTATTTATGGCTTTGGTTGTTCTCCAGTATTAATGACGAGGATTCTGATAGTACATAATACAAAGCGACACTGTGGCGAACACTTTCAGTCAGTTAGGTAAAGTCAGCAATTATTTAGTCGGTTGCAGAATATCTATTTTCCACAAAGGCCAACAGCTGGTTGGGTATCATATCGTGTATGTGCTTCTGCACTATTCCCTTTTGTTCTCTACCTGTTCCCTCAATGAGGGAAATGAGAATATGAAGGCACAAATATGTAGAAGTCCATATTATTGGTCTTCACCATTGTTGGAGGACATATTTTCAGCTAACTCACGGTATGCCATCGAATATACGTATCGATGAATGACAAGATTTTTGCAACCAACGCAAGCATTGTTGGCTCAACTGAAATTATTAGATAACTAGATGAATCATGCAGCAATGCTT